AAAATGTAGATTTGGTTTTCCAAACTTAGTATTTTTCAGACTCTTTCTCTCACTAGAATTAAGAGGACAGTCCCCCCAGCCCCCAATTTCTAAGGGGAAAATGGCATAATATATGCTAAATTGAGAATTCACCTTGATGGCATTTGACCATGAGTGTTTTAGACTGCAATTACCGTTTCTGTAAAGCAAATCAGGCAAGCAGCACCAGCATTTATTGTCCTTCAGCAAGTAGCCCGAGGACTTCCTGTAGAACAGGTATATAGGAGTATGGGGTCTGGGAAAGGACACAAAGGAGCATGTGCTGAAAGAATTCCTATTATCTCAAGCCATCTTGTTAAAATGGCTTCAGCTCAACAATGAGATTCTTGGTAGGTGTTTGTTCAAAGACCTAAAACATTATGCATGTGGGATTTTTGAAAACAGTATTAGTTGAGAAGGTGCTAAATATTGCAGAATCTTCAAATGACTGCCTTGAGCTCTCAACTTACCATGCGAGTGTCAACTCCTCAGGAGTCTCATTCTTTTTCCTTGGAAATTTCCTCTTCCTATTACAGAACTCTAAATAAAGGGCCTGTCTGAGCAGGAGAAATGAATTGAGTGAATAGAATGGATAGTCCTATCTGGCTCCTGCACTTAAGGAAGTTGAAATGTTAACTAAGAATCCGCCCCTCTCCCTTTCCTCATCAGAGAAGTAGAAGTGGATGAGTAAGATGAGACCATTGGTAAAACCAAATGGGGCTGGATGGAAAAGGTGAAGGGATTATACAAACAAACAATTTATAGGCAGTCATAAGTAGTATGATTGCCAGAGGGAAAGGGGAAGGGGGGGTAGGTAGAAAGAAGGTAAATGGAGGATAAATGGTAATGGAAGGAAAACTGACTTGGGGTGATGAACACAATATAATAAGATGATATATTAAAGAATTGTACCCCTGAAACCTATATAATTTTATTAATCAATGTCACCTCAATAAATTCAATTAAAATAAAAAAAAACACACCCTGCTGTTCATGAAAACAGATGACCTCTTGAATTTCATTGTATGACATAGGGACTAAAATGTGAGAAAAGGAGATTATGGATGTTAGCATACTCAGGACTTTGTTGACTATAAAAAGATAAGCCAGTCTAACTTCTCCCAGTTCCTTTCCGGTATGATAAAAACTCCCTCGTAGACTTACCTTGTCAGGATTTCAACTAGGGCAAATGTGCATTGGACATCAATGATACAAGCATTAGGCCTGGGTGTTCAAGATGAATGTGATCCAGCCCCTGCGCTGGAGAGTACTCCATCTCATAGAAAATAGCCATTGTTAATGCCGATCTTATGTACCAAAGTATTTTTTTTTGGTGATAATATTTGAGGCCCAGCGATCAAAAATACCTTCTCTATTGAAATTCTCACATAACTCATCCTCTGTGAAGCCAGGCTTGTGTTAAGAAGGCATGGCTGTCCATACAGTGGGAAAAAAACAAATTTTATATGGACTATATAGATCTAAATGTGAAACTATAAGGATTCTAAGGGGAAACATAAAAATCTTAATGACCTCAGGGCAGGCAAAGATTTCTCAAACAGGACACAAAATATGCTTACCATAGATGGAAAAACAATGGGCAAATTAGGCTACATTAAAATGAAAGAATTTTAGTTCATCACATGATACCATTAATAAAATTAGTATGGAGTGGGAGAAGATTTTGCAATGTAAATATTCAACAAAGGACTTGTGCTGATAAAATTGATAAAAGGTAGATTACCCAATAAAAATATGGGAAATAGACTTTAGTAAGGTAAAGTAAAGACATTGATTACGAAGATGTTGGTTGTCTTGATTGGAGTTAGTGACTGGAAGGGAGCACAAGAGGCTTCTGAGGTTCTGGTCATAATGCTGGTTATGTGGGTGTGTTTACTTTGTGAAAGTCCTGCAAATTATGTATTTTTCTGTCATTTCATCGGAAATGTTTACATAAAGAAAATGCCTTGTTTCCAGGAGGAACAAAATATTCCCAGAGGTTAACACTGACTGCAAAAAATATCCCTCCGCATGGAGCATTGCCTCCATTGTGAAAGCAAAGGAGGTGTTGAGGGCATGTGCTTTGCAAGGTGGCCAGGGCAGGTCCAATTTGTGGAATCATCCTACACTCGGGGTGGCTACGGTACCCTAAGTAAGGAGGAGGAGGACCATTTGTGGAGGAAGCACTAGAAATAAGATTGATTGCTTTACAATTTGGGGCATGGCTGACTCAGCCTGTAATCCTGTTTAAGTCACCATTGATGGATCACCTACCATGTGTTTGGGTTTTGAAATAGGCACTTTCTGCGCATTAAAAGGTTTGTTCCTTACCACAACTCTGGGAGGTAGGCGCTATGCTTATCCTAATTGATAGATGAAGAAACTGAGGCTTAGATTAAAGAACCTGCTCAAGTTCTAGCTGGAACGTGCCAGCAAGCTGCATCTGGAACCCATGTCTGTGTCATTTGAAAGCTCACCCCCTTGCCCTAACCAGTTTGGCTCAGTAGATAGAGTGTCAGTCTGCGGACTAAAGGGTCCCAGGTTCAATTACGGTCAAAGGCATGTATCTTGGTTGTGGGCACATCCCCAGTAGGGGGTGTGCAGGAGGCAGTTGATTGATGTTTCTCTCTCATCGATCTTTCTCTCTCCTTCTCCCTTCCTCTCTGTAAAAAAAAAAAAAAAAAAAAAAAATCAATAAAATATTTTTTTTAAAAAAAGAAAGCTCACCTCCTTTATATGTCTATAATGCTGCCTTTAAAAATTGTATTTGATTCAGCATAATGAAAAGAAAAAAAATACTTACATAATATATGTAATGTTCACATTTGATGACCAGAAACACTTTGAAATCAATTTTAAAGTCTGAGATTTACTGTACTACAGATTTTTTGATGAACTGGAATTTTTCTTTTCTCTTGTAACATGGTTAGGAATAACTGGATATGGGGTGGATGGAGGACTGAGAAATCTTCCAGGAAACAAGTCAAATTGTTATAGGAATGTCCTTGTATGGGTGACCCACCAGCCCTTCTCTGTGCACTAGGGACATTTTAATAATCTGAGCAACTGCCTTTGATAGGCATACTTTGTTTTTTGCTTATTAATGACTCCCTAGGCTAGATTTTATTTCTCTTACCACTAATTCAGATACAGAGATAGATTAAATGGATGCTGCTAACTGATTGCCACATCACTGTCTGCATATCAATGCTCTCCTGCCTGCTTGGGAATGAAGAGAAAGAGAAGAGAAGGGAAAGGGTAAGCCAGATATTTGTAGTAGCTGAATTTGTTTTAAAAGACAAATTCTGGAACAGAATTTTGACAGATACAAATTATTGATTTTTGTGCATGGTTAGCATTTTGGGATTTCCCTACTTAGTATATACATGTTTTTTCCCCTTCTTCTGATACAGAATGGCTTGGTGTCCACTCAGGTAGATATATAATACTTTGAGTTCTTTTGCTGCTGTGGTTTGTTTTTGGTTTTCAGGGCCATCATGTTTGCAGCCTATGGAGTGTCCTATAGCATTAGAATAATATCACATCTCTAAATTTGGAGATGTGAAATTATTCCAAATGTGTCTCCCCAACAATTCAGTCAATGGCCGTGGAAGCAATGTGTCAGAAAGGCACATGATCTTATTTGAATGGAAATATATGTGGGTATGGTTTTAAAGCTTTGTGTTTACTAAAACCTTCCAAAAAACTCCTTTCTTTATCCTTGAAGCTAGTTATTCCACTTCTATTGCTGTGTAATACACAAAAAAGAAGCACTATACAAGTTGAAATAATTGAAAACACCCACATCCAACTCAATTTATTTTATTTGAATCTATCTAGTTACATGGACTTGTTTGACGTACTGCAGATGCTTAAAAAACCTGGACAGGAGCTCTGGATTGCTTTTCTCTTAATTTTGAAATGTAGAACTTTAGTTTAGAAGTCGATTCCTCTTCAGAGAATATGTAATTATTTGTTAATTTGATTAGCACTGTACATTGTGCTTTGAAGCAATTCAGAGTACTGTAGGAACATCTGTTGTAACGTCATTTGGAGGATTCTACATTTCAGAAATAACCCCCAAATGCTTTGATAATACCAGTTTGACATCGATCAATGGGGGCAGTGCCACGGTGCTGCATAGGGATTCTTTGTGTTGGTAAATGGATGCTCTCAAGTATAACTAAGGTGGTCTTTTTGAGGGAGGGTAGCTTTTTATTGAATTTTAGTTTTCTTCCTTCCTTGAAATAGTGACAACTGTCATTTTCCTCCTTCAGACAATAACATCAGTGATTTTGTACATAGAAAATCATTTTTTCAGGCTGGCTTATGTCTATGCTGGCAACCATTTTATACACATGGCCTCACTTAAATAGCCAGGACTTCAAATGTGTAAATGGGCAAGTTTTTAGGCAATCTGGTTAGGCTTTCCAATCTCGCCTCTTCATTTCCTGTCTAAACAACTTCTTCCATGTCCACAGCATGTTTATACAACATTGAATAAAACTTCTAATGGGAAATTTCTTCCAGGTGACCTCCCTGCGAGGCTGGACTGTGGAGAAACCTTAAGAAACCCGACCCTGACGAAATTGCCTCCGTTGAGAATATTACTCGGTGCAGAAACAAGGAACAGAATTTAGTTATTTTTGGTTCTTGAATAAATGAATTCTGTTTCCTTTTGTGTAGGTGGCAGAAAACATTAACCCCTGCAGAAGGTCCCATCTCAGTTGGAAATTGAACTTTTGGTTTCTTTGAATTAGTAGAACCTTTGAGAAAAGAATGTTAAATTGTTTTTATTTGAACTTCAAGCAAGTTGGAATCGGCTCTGCTGTCTGCATATCTTTTATAGAAGTGTCTTTTCTAGGGTTGTCTGTCTTTACATACAATTTTCTGGAGGCAGAGACTATGATTAGCAAATGACCTTCCACTCAGCACCTCATGTGGGTGGATACTAATAAATCCTTTCTTAACCTTTCTTCTAGCACTTTTGGAGAAATCAATCAGCAGAAGGCGGGACACCGAAGCCATACAGAAAGCCAAAATCCTTTACTCATCGTGCATGAATGAGAGTGAGTAATAAAGAAATAAAGAAAAAGTAACAAAATATTTACCACCCCTATTCTTCAGAGTTCTTTTAATGTTTAAGGAAAGGAACAACTCTCAAAAACTGGGTTTTGATTAGCCCTGCCCTGTCTTAATGTTCTCTTGCTGGTTTGATGGAGAAAATAATTCTATTTCTATGGCTAGTATTCTTTAGGTGTCTGTTACTCCATGAGAAATTTGGGTGCGATCAGAGGGCAAACCCCACTATATGTGGTACAGAAACCAGAATCTAGAGGGCAGGTCTGGTCTAGAAGGAACCTTGGAGGGAGAGCACTTGGGAGCGTTGCTAGTCCCCTAAGGACCTACTGGGGCCCAGACAAATCCAGATTCCCAGGCAGGCCAGGCTCCTCCTGCTTCTCCATCAGCCTAAGAGTAATCTTTATTGGTTGTCTTAAACATGTCTCCATATCTTAAAAGAGATACATCATTTTATCTCATCTGCCCTTTCAAGGCCATTGCAGAAAGAAGCCAGTGCTTCTGGGAAGTGTGTTAACTTGTTTAGGATTTTCGGTTAGCTAGAAGAGAGCAGTAAAAGATGATGAAAGAGTCTGCAGCATTTGTTCACTTTTACTGGGGTGTGATTGGTTTTATTGAACAGATTCCTTTACGTAGGATTGTTTCTTAGCATTGCAGAGTATTATCAGCCTAACATAGCCCATTGCCTGGGGTCAGTGTAGTAAGCCCATCTTTTATTGTAAGGAATATGCAGCTCTACAGTTCCCTAGTCAGCTCTCCTGGCAAGAATACTCAGTTTAGACAGTTACATTGCAGTGTGAGTCATAAGTAGCTCTGTCTCTGGTTATCTTCAGTCTATGGCACCTCTCCATAACAGCTGAAATGTTAAATTGGAGCCTTATGAGAATTTTCTCTTGAGAAGATACCTTTGCATTCTAGCTTGGAAATCCAATTTGCAATTTTAACTCTCCCTTAATATGGTTCCTTTTCAGAAGCAATCGAAAAGGCAGATGCCAAGCCATTGCTCCACATCCTGCGGCACTCTCCTTTTCGCTGGCCTGTGCTCGAGTCTAACATCGGTCCTGAAGGGGTTTGGTCAGAGAGGAAGTTCAGCCTTCTTCAGACACTTGCAACGTTTCGTGGTCAATACAGCAATTCTGTATTTATCCGTTTGTACGTGTCCCCTGACGACAAGGCATCCAATGAACACATCTTGAAGGTATGGTGAAGACTCGGTCATCCTGTTTGTTCAGTCCAAGGTTAGCTTTTTGGGGTGCTTCCTAGGGAAAGAGACTCATACCACCTTAGAGAAATGATAAGGAAAAAAATATGTTAAACATTAGGATCTAGGGTATTACCCCCTTCACAGATGTGCGGACTGTAAATCATGAACAAACCAGTTTTATCAGCCTTTTAAGAAGCTAGTGAGCAAGTTAATTTCATGTGATCTGGTTCTCAGTATCTACTCTAAGCATGTGTGGGTCCCTAAATTCCAGTGGGAAGAGAGCTGCAAAGACTTTTTTATTTTTTCCATTTAACATGTTCTTTTTTATTTTTCAATTACAGTTGACATGCAGTATTATTTTGTATTAGTTTCAGGTGACCAGCATAGTGGTGAGACACATAAAATTTGTGAACTGATCCCTCAATAAGTCTAATACCCACTCTGCACCATCCATACTTAATATGATATTATTGTGCAGACTTTCTGAACTCTCTTCCTCCCTTCACCTTCTCATTCCCCTGACTAAGGAGAGAACACATGTCATGATTCTTTGTTCCTCCATCACTAAAGTCATCTTGCGTATATGCCTAAAATTTCATTGTCAAGTTCAGTCTGAATCTCTCCCTTTCCTTTCATAAGATAAAATGAGACTTGTTCCAAGTGCTTGGCTTGCATTTTCCATTGGGAGAGTAAGTATCCCTTCTCTTCCAAGGAATAGGCCGCACAGATATACCTTGACACAGATTATTACATTGGTAAAATCAAGAGACTACCAACAATGAAAGATTCATCAATGAAAGAGCTTGGCAAGACTTCAAATAACATTTCTCAAAATGTTTGTGCTTTGATTCTGTTCCATATTTTATTTCCTCGGTTACTTTGACTAATAATGAAAATTTTATTGAGCTACTCCTTCCCCTCTCCTAGTTCTGTCCTTATATTGATATTCAAATCATAAAGAATAAAACTTTTATTTTTATTATTTTTTAAAATATATTTTATTGATTTTTTATAGAGAGGAAGAGAGAGGGATAGAGAGTTAGAAACATTGATGAGAGAGAATCATCAATCAGCTGCCTCTTGCACACCCCCTACTGGGGATGTTCCTGCAACCAAGGTACATGCCCTTGACCTGAATCGAACCTGGGACCTTTCAGTCAGCAGGCCGACGCTCTATCCACCGGTTTCGGCAGAAGTATAAAACTTTTAGAGTGTGTTACCCTTTCCTAATTTATTAAAAATTTAAAATCCACACTCTAGAATTAATTTGTTTTATTTTTATTTTTTGTTAATCCTCACCCGAGGATATTTTCCCATTGATTTTTTAGAGAGTGGAAGGGAGTGGGAGAGACACAGAGAAAGAGACATTGATGTGAGAGAAGACACTCTATCCACTGAGCTAGGGCTAGAGGTTTTTTTTGTGTGTTTTTTTTGTTTTTGTTTTTTTTGATTTATACCAAGCAGCTGGCAAATTTTTTTCTGGAAAGAATCGGATGTGAATATTTTGGGCTGTGTGAGCTATATGATCTTTGTCTCAACTGCTCAACTCTGCTGTTGTACCTAGGAAAGCAGAGGTAGACATGAGTGGGTGTGTGGCTGGTTGGCCTACAGACTGTAGTTTGCCCATTTCTAGGTTAGACAGTGGAAGTCTCAATAAAAATCTTTAGACACTGAAAGAATTCCCATCTACTCAAGAGAAAATTCTTAGTTCCAGTGACAGCTGTTATTTCCATGGTGGGTGATAAACAACATGGCACTGACAATATTCTAATGCTATCAGGACAAGACATGCTGTGCAAGACACCATGATGGTAATGGTCCAATTGACCTCTGCCTTGTGTCAATAGATTGCTCTCTTTTATTTTTTTATTTTTATTTTTTAAAATATATTTTATTGATTTTTACAGAGAGGAAGGGAGAGAGAGAGAAAGTTAGAAACATCGATGAGAGTCATCGATCAGCTGCCTCTTGCACACCCCCCACCGGGGATATGCCCGCAACCAAGGTACATGCCCTTGACCGGAATCGAACCCGGGACCTTTCAGTCCCCAAGCCGACGCTCTATCCATTGAACCAAACCGGTTTCGGCAGATTACTCTCTTTTAAAAACAAACAGGACAACAGCCTGATGCTCCCCACCCATGTCTTAAAGCATGACCAGGCAACTGGTCAGAACCATTTGGAGAGTATTTCTCTTTAATTCTTGTAACCAACATAACACTCAGATTTTAAATTCAGGTATGTGAGAAATGGACATTTTCTTTAGTCAATTTCATCACTGACTGAGCTCTCACCCCAACTTTTAGTGGGAAATCGAACCAGTCTAGACATTTCCCTACCTCCTGGTTGCCCCATTTCTCAGTTACCTGTTTCAGAAAATAAACCCACTATCCCAGCCCATGTTGCCCTTCAAGTGTATGTCTCTGCATTTGGGATCCTGGGCCCTCACTCCCTTTCAGATCTTGCCACTTTCTAAGGACATTGATTGGTCCCTCTGCTCAGGAGACATTTTGACTTCTTTGGCTACCTAGGAGAACTTTTTGCTCTGGGAGAAGTCTCTCTTACCTCAAACCATCCTCCCTCAATGTACTTAGACTTCCTTTTCCCCTGTGGTGAGATGGTGCAGGATTTATCACAAGCTTAAACGGCAGAAACTTAAAGAAAACTACAGAGTTGATGCCCCAAATTCTTGTTACATGTTTTTGGGCTTATTTATGTAAGTAGATAACAAGAATGAGGATTTAAGGGTTAGTGAAATTCTTGAATATATGTTATCCTGAGTGTGTGGAAGGCCAGGGTTGTCTCATCAGTATGTGTTACTGAAACAGTGACTTCAAGTCATCATCACTCAGTGGCCTGCTTTTGTCTGACTCATAGCAAAATCCAAAAGGATGACAAAGACAGCCTGTCTTAGAAATTATGTTTTTCTCATTTTTTTGTCTGTCCTTTTCTTATATCATAATTTGTCAGATGATTATTTTTTTATTATTACTTTGTTTCCTAACCTGAGGTTTATTGCAGTTGGAGAAAAAAAAATCATATTTCAGTTCAATATATTGGGTTTCTTAAACAGATATTTTATTTTCAACTTGCAATATTCAGACACAAGAATTAAAAAGCAAACAAACCTCAAATAAACAGTGTCCTAATGTTGGTCTCTTGAGAAAGTCCTTTGCCTCAAAACTTTGTATGCTCCTAATGAGATTTAGTTGACAGACCTTATTTAATCTGTTTTGTGTATTTAAAAGGTTCCCTAGAAACCATAACAATGTGACAGTTTAAAAAAGGTCAGGTAACTTCATTTGAATCTTTGAAACTTTTACAATAAGTGGATTAAACTTCATTTCATCAGAGGGAAGCTTTGGCTCTCTTAATGTTGTCTATTCAATTTCCTTTCCTATGAGACTGAAGATGAAAAGATTCTCAAAGTGGTCCAAAACTAATTGAAAACCAAAACATCTTAATCATAATATTGTGTTTTGTGGTTCTGGCTTACTTAATTTTTGGAAGAAACAGTGGTAGATTGGGAATTACATTCTGATGAAGCCAGGATGGCCTGTGATTTGGTTGTTTTGGACCAATTAGAGAAAAAGATCGAACACAATAATTTGAGGGTTTTAGTAACAGACCCAAAGTGAATGTTATGGAAACATTTCCCTCCCCCTTCCCCTTGAAACAAGGGCAATATTTTTCTTAAAAATTTCATGACTTTGCTAACTCTTATCTTGGCCTTTGTAGAATTTGTTGCTTATGAAGAGGATTTTCATGGAAAACCATGACCCTATACATAGAGAATATTTAAGATTATAGTAAAATGAAGAAGAAAATAGAGATAGATCCAAGCAAATCTAGCATTGTATAAACTAATGATATAGGAATATGGGATCCAATTTTTATTAAGGTGCTACTAATTTTTTATTTTTATTTTTAGGTTTTATATCCTGTTAATTTGACCTAACATTGTTATGTCTGAATGAAGTTTAAATGAGAAAATCTGCTGTTGGGATCCACATAATCTAGTCTTTAGGTAGTTGTTGACATTCAAGAAAAAAAAATGACCATAGATTTAGTGAAAGTTCTTTTTAAAACTTCATTTTTAATTTACATGCCATTAAATTCATTTTTTTTGTGATGTATATTTTTTGTGATGCCTAAGTTTTGACAAATGCAGACTCATGTAATCACCATCATAATTAAGAAATAGAATAGGCTGAAACCAGTTTGGCTCAGTAGATAGAACATTGGCCTGCAGACTGAAAGGTCCCAGGTTCGATTCCATTCAAGGGCATATGCATTGGCTGCGGACACATCCCAGTGGGGGTGTGCAGGAGGCAGCTAGTCGATGTTTCTCTCATTAATGTTTCTAGCTCTCTATCTCTCTCCTCTCCTTTCCTCTCGGTAAAAAAAAAAATCAATAAAATTATATATATATATATATAAAAGAAAAAAAAAAAGAAATAGAATAGTTCCATCACCCCCACCGAAAATTATCTCATGTTGCCCATTTGTAGTCAACCAGTTTCCTCATCCTCAAAGCCCATTCTCTGCCCCTGTAGTTTTATCTTTTTCAGAATGTGATTAAAGTTTTCCCATGTTAAGGCATGTATGAGTAGTTCATTCCTTTTTATGGCTGAGTAGAATTCTATTGTGTGTCATAGTTTGTTTAGCCATTCACTAGTTGAACAACATTTGGGTTGTGTATTGTTTTTAGTGATTATGAATAAAGTTACATGCAGGTTTTTGTGTGGGCATAAGTTTTCATTTCTCTTGGGTAAATACCTATGAGTAGGATTGCTGGGTCATCTGTAAGTGTATGTTGAACATTACTAATATAAGAAACTGTCAAATTGGTTTCCAAAGTTGCTCTGCCATTTTGCATTTCCATCAACAATGTATGAGTGATCTAGTTTTTCTGAATCTTCACTTGAACTTAGAGTTATATATTTTTTGCCATTCTCATAGATACGTAGTTGTGTTTTATTGTGGGTTTACTTTATATTTTATATTTTCCTAATGACCAGTGATGTTGAGCATCTTTTCATGAGTTTATTTTCTGTCTGCATATCTTCATGGGTGAAGTGTCTGTTCAGATCTTTTGCCCACTTTTAAATTGGGTTGTTGTTTTCTTATTGTTGAGTTTTGAGGCCTCTTTATATATTCTAGATATATATCCTTGTCATTTAAAGGGTGGGGTAAAAGTAGGTTTATAGTTATGAATATGCAAAATAGTTTATTCTTCTGTTATTATTTCTTACTAGTGTCCCAGTGCACGGATTTGTGCACATTAAAAGGAAATTAATTAGAAGGTGGCCAGTGGGGTGGGACTGGGCAAGATGGGCTGGACACGCCCTGGAGCCAACCTCCCTAGCTGGCCACACCTGGGGTGGCACAACGGCTCGAAGGGCATCTGTGCAGTGAGCGGGGTCCCTCCAGTAGGTGGGGTCCCTTGGTCTGGCCTGTGGGGATTGGGACGAAACCAGCAGTCCGACATCCCCAGAGGGGTCTGGAGTGCAAGAGGGCACTCTGCAAAGTTGCTGTGGTACAGGGTGTGGAACACAAACACAAGGATGCAGTAAACCTGATTTGGGGTGACAGTGCCCTGCAACGACATAACCCATGGCCAAAGGTAGAATCCTGCAGCCCTGCCAGGAATCACGCTCCCTCTTCTCTGGTTTTGGATGCGTCACTGAGAACCGCAGCTGCCAAGTCACTGCAGCTCGGCAGCTCCTGCATTGAGTATCTGCCCCTGGTGGTCAGTGCCCATCATATTTACTGGCCTGTTGGATGGTTGCTTTGCCTTTTATATATATAGATTATTGTATTTTCCATTTGAACAACTGTAAACCCATTTTTGTCCCATCCTGCATGTGACTTTTAAATATTTTCTCGGTCTGTAGCTTGTCTTTTTGTTCTCTTTCACAGAGCAGTACTTTTTAATGTTGATGAAGTCTAATTTTTTTTTTTATGGGTTGCAATTTTGGTGTCACGTTTAAGAATTCTTTGTCTAACCTCAGGTCACAAGATTTTCCCTTTTAGAAGTTTATAGTTTTTAGGTTTGACATTTAAGTCTATGATTCATTTTGAATTAATTTTTGAGCTATGGGTGGAGATTCATTTTTTTTTCTTCTGCATATGGATGTTGAGTTATTCTAGCATGTTCTTGGAAAGAACTATTTCTTCCCTTTGATCACCTTTAAAGTGCTGAAAGTTTTAACTGCAATGATTATGCTATACTTTTCCATAATAATTCTAGTTATTTTGTTTTCTATTATTTGTATTTTTTTTTATCACCTATCCTAACTTTCCAGGGAGGGTTCTAAATTTGTTAAGATTTCTCAAAATTATCATTTAAATCAATCCAACACAGTATTTTAGGGGTGGGGAAGTAGACAGTCTGTTCAATCCAGATGAGCATTTTGCAAAATACTGCAATGAGAAGAGTATTGGATCTGGCAACAAGAGACAGTGATTCTCTGAGCTTTGCCCAACTGTGTGACCTTGGAAAAGTCACGTCACTTCTCTGGCTTTTGTCTCCACCCATTAAGTAAGGGAGGAAATCAGATAACCTCCAAGAACTATTCCCACTCAAATATCTTGGATCTTATTTACCATTGATATAACTTGAAAGGGGCAGAAGCCATGAATTGGGGAAGCAGAGGTAGGTCTCTGGAACTTTATAATAGCTATCATTGCTGAAGTGTCTGTTTGCAGGTAGAGCTGAGTGTAATGAGTTGTTTTTGTAATGGTAACACAAGCTCAAAATATGACTGGGATTCTGATCTATGACTCTTGTTAACATGGTACTTAAGAATTTACAGTGCAAGCAAAATATTTTGTTTTTGTTTTAACAGCTGGACCAAGCAACGCTCTCCCTAGCTGTGAGGGAAGACTACCTTGACAATAGCACAGAAGCCAAGTCTGTAAGTTTTATATTTCAACTCTGCACCTTGTCAGGCTGTTGATGGGTTCATAAATTGTTCTAGAATTTCTGACTGTACTGGAAATGAGCAGGGTGGCATTCTTTTTTTTATTTTTTTAAATTTTTATTTAATTTTTTTTTTTTTTTTTGAGAGAGAGAGAGAGAGAGAGAGAGAGAGAGAGAGAGGAAGAGAGACTGGAAGAGAGAGGGAAAAGCAGAGAGAAATATCGATGTGAGAGAAACACATCGATTGGTTGCCTCCTGCACGAGCCCCCATCAGGCCCCGGGCCGGGATGGAGCCTGCAACCTAGATACTTGCCCTTTTCCAGAATAGAATCCGGAATCCTTCAGTCCACAGGCCGATGCTCTATCCCCTGAGCCAAACTGGCTAGAGCAGCAGTGTGGTTATTTGATGACCATATTTCCAGTTAAGGAACTGAAGGTTTTTATTGAGACATAAATGGCACTTCTGGAAGTCTCGGTATCAAAGATATACATGCTCAGTGCTCTCATGTTAGAGCTGGGGAGACAGCACACCCAAATGAAGTTACTAAGAAATGAGCTTGCAGTCATTCCTCAGAAGCACGGAGAGCTCACTACACATTTCAAGAAGTAATGTGTGGGGAGGGATACTCTCTCAAATAATGATTCTTAAATTGTACTGTTTAAGAGTCACCTGGGACTCTATTAAATGTATGATTCGTGGGCCACAGCCCTGGAGAATCTGATTTAGTAGACTTGAAGTAGAACCCAGGAATCGGTTTTCTTAACAGGTTGCCCCAAATTAATAAGAACCAGATGGGATCAATCAGGTTAGATTTTTTGGGTTGACTTGGAAACCTACATTAAAAAAAAAAATTGGACTAGAGGCCCGATGAACAAAATTCACACAACAGTAGGCCTTCCTTCCCCTGGCTGCCGGCATCCCTTCTGGCACCCGGACCGGGCTTCCCTCACAGCCCCGGCTTTGTCCGGAAGGACATCCGGTCTAATTAGCATATTACGCTTTTATTATTATAGATTAGAACTGGTTCATTCATAACACTTTCAATTCATTTTGGAAACTTTGTTGAATTTCCAAAAGAGCCTCAGACCCAGGATCTCCTCGATCAGGGAGCTCTCTCTGGTTTCTGGCCCAGCCTGAGAACACAGGAACTTAGACTGGGAAGTGCTGGCTCACAGTGTAACTTAGACTGGGAAGTGCTGGCTCACAGTGTAACTCCCTGCTCCTTTGCTGATACTGAATCCTATATCTAGAAGGCTCTGGAGGGCAGGAAGGTTCTGGAGGGCAGGCAGGTAGCCTAGGCAATCTTTGGGCTGAGGGCAGTCATCAAAGAAGGTTAGCAAGTTTTCCTTTTTTTTTTTCCCCCCCAATATATTTTATTGATTTTTTACAGAGAGAAAGAGGGATAGAGAGTTAGAAACATCAATGAGAGAGAATCATAGATCAGCTGCCTCTTGCACACCCCCTACTGGGGATGTGCCCGCAACCAAGGTACGTGCCCTTGACTGGAACGGAACCCGGGACCTTTCAGTCCGCAGGCCCACGCTCTATCCACTGAGCCAAACCGGTTTCGGCAAGTTTTCCTTCTTGAAAATGGATGGGATGAACTTCAAAAAATATTTTTTAATCCTCACCTGAAGATATGTTTTTATTTATTTATTTTTTATTGCTTTTAGAGAGAAAGGGAGAGAAAGAGACAAACATCAATGCGCGAGAGAAACATTGATCGATTGCCTTCCATATGCACCCTGATAGGGGATTGAACCTGCATCCTAGTTATATGACCTGGCCAAGAATCGAACCCCATCCTTTTGGTGTATGGGACAATGTTCCAATCATCTGAGCCACCTAGCCAGGGTGAACGTGGATGTACTGAACTCTGTCAGTCAGGGGGCACCTCTGCTTCTGCTGGGGTCACTACCCTATCAGCAACTAGGCTTGAAATCTTCTCCCCCTATAACCAATCAGTCAAGTCCTGTGGATTCTACCTTCAGAATTTCTCTTCTACTTCATCCCTCCTTTCTCTTCTTACTACTCTAGGTCAGGCCCTTGGTAACTCTTGGCTTTATTACAGCAGATAGCCTTTGATTGCTACCTTTTCCCCCCTCCCCCCCATTCCATTCATTCCCTTCATTGCCTCTGTAGTACCACTTGATCAGTTCTCTTCTCAGTGCAGCTCACATCATACTTTTGCTCACAAGGTAGAATATAAATTCCTCAGAGGGAGTTCAAGACCTCTTCATGACCTGGTACCAAACCAGCCTTACTGTGCCATCTATTTATCTCCTGCCCCCTCCCCCCCAACAAAGGCAGCTCATACACCTCACAGGAGGTCTCCTCACTGCTCCTGAACCTGTCTCCTTCACACAGGTCTCTGATTCCTCCAGGCTGAAATTCTCCCGCTCTTTAATCTTCAAGCACTTAGCAGCTTTATTAAAGAACTTACGTTGGTCTCTCTAATATTAAAGTTAGTAATTACATGTTTATCTCCCTCACACACACACAGAACCAGATCACACACTGGGAAATCAGACTTAAGTGTTATTTACTTTTTCATCTGTTACCCCCACCCCCCCCCCCATGCACAGAATGCCTAGCAAGACATCTGCACATGTATTGATTAAATAACTTTTAATCAAACTGGGAATTGCAAAATATTGTTGCTAATTAAGTCTATTTGCAAAACTTGCTTACTGATTCAACAAATATTTTTTAAGGGCCTGCTCTATGCCAAGCACTATATAGGTTTCAACGTCATAAACACAGTAAGAATAGCTTACAGATTCAAGGTGAATGTCAGGAAATCTTATTCCTAAGGCATAACTGTGAGATTATTTAATACCTAGTATATTGAGTTCTTACAAGTTTATCTGAAAGGAGAAATGACCCCCAATGAGATTCTACAGTTCCACAAAATAAGGTTCTCCCCTCCAGTAATATATGTGTCATGAAAATGGGTTTATGGACACGCGGGGAGGACATTCTATATTTGCTCTTTGCTCAGTTTCACTTCATCATTTCTCTCATCTCTCCCTTCTTTTTTCCCTGAGGTGGTGAGGAGAACTTTGTGAAAAACGTGCAAAACTAGAAAGACCTAGGGCTGCAGTTGATGGTCTTTTATTTTCTTTTTTTTAGTGTGAAGGTGGGAAAACGGAGCTAGAAGAGAATAAATCACTGTTCCCACCAGTCTTCATGGATCATGCCCCCTGCTTTTAGCAACAGCTCTTTCCCATTATTTTATTAAAGCCTCTCTCGCCTGGAAAGAGGAGTCTGACCTTTAACTTTCTATTCTGGGCTCATTTGGAGATGTTTCCCATATCCATAATATTGTCGGTTGCTACAAAACGAATTCTCTTGATTCTCGGTGGCTGGACATTTCTGCCTCTCATGGAAACAGTATCCAAGGAGCTGTCACTCTTCTTTCTCTCAAAGTGGTAGGTGGGTGTTTGGTATCACAGAAAGACTGTACCGTACAGTGAGTATGAGTGAAAATGAAGGGAATTTATTTCCACCTGCTGCTTCTGCTCCCCAATATCTTTGAAGCATACTTTCTAATGGACTGTTGTCATGGTCACTTGCTGTTTTTGCTCTTACAGTACCGGGATGCCCTTTACAAGTTCATGGTGGACACTGCCGTACTTTTGGGTGCCAATAGCTCCCGAGCAGAGCACGACATGAAGTCAGTGCTTAAATTGGAAATTAAGATAGCTGAGGTAAGACTTCATCTAAAATCTGTTTCTTTTATTTTCTTTATTTTAAAGGCAGTATATCCTGAATGAAAAAAATATATATATAATAGCATTCTGTGACATTGTCCTTTGGGTCTAAGGTATAACTAATAGCACCTCCTTTGGGAAGTCTCAGCTATGGCCAAAGACCCTCTGGCTATATTTTCCAAGAGAAACTCCTGAATGGCTCCAATAGAATAATAGTTATTTAATGAATCCTTATTGATTTGGTTTGAGTGGAAGGTATTTAAAAATATATATATATATTTTTATTGATTTCAGAGAGGAAGGGAGAGGGAGAGATAGAAACATCAATGATGAGAATCATTGCTTGGCTGCCTCCTGCACCCTCCCTCCCCCACTGGGGATCAAGCCCGAAACCTAGGCATGTGACCTTGACTGGAATCAAACCTAGGACCCTTAGGACGCAGGTCGATACTCTGTCCACCGAGCCAAACTGGCTAGGGCTGGAAGGTAATTTTTAATCTAATCTTCTCTTTTCCCCATTGCCACTCAGGGTCAGTGTGACCTGAGATAGGGACTTTGAGAAGTCTGTCCCACCATACTGGATACACAGATTTGATGTAGATGTGTATAGGGTGAGCATTTTTAGCTGCCTTTCTGGTACTACTTTGAATCTAGCCCTGTTTTTTTTTTTTATTCTTTTCTTGCCCTGCTTTAATGAATGAATCTCATGTGTTCATACATTATGTTCTGTGTAGGTCATCTTAAATTCTTCCAGGCTAATGCTAGGAACAAAAAGATATAAGAACCAACTTATGGGAGAGTCAGACATCCTAAATGGTTAGCTTTCTTTATAGAATAACTTTTCCCCCCTAGAAGAACCAAAGTGTAAAACCCCTATACATTCCCATTGGGATGCTTTGCGTGGGGAAAAAAAAAACTTTTGGCAAGAAACACACATATGGGTTGGTAGTCTTTTAAAACAAGTTGCTAAAAATCCCAAAGTTCACGTGACTCCAGGTGTCGCTTGGTTTGTGTTTGGTGCAGTGTGGTGGAATGTTGAGGTACGGAGTTGGGGCAGTGGATGAGGGCGAGAAGGAATTAGTCTTTCTCTCAGCAGCAGTGACGCGTGTGCGGACCTCTCTCCAAACTTGTGCTCGCAGCACAAAAGGTCCATTCCTTTTGAAGACTGTGTGATGAAGGTCACTGCAGATGTTCTGGAGCCAGAGACTGTGCCTCTGAGCCGACCCAGAGCTCTAATTTGGCCTGAAGCTCTGATCCATCGGGGAAGGCCTTGCTCTGAGCCAGGGATTTAGACCAAAAAGGGAACTAGAAACAGCTGGGCCGAGGCAAGACTGGGAATTGTCAAGAGGCTAAATGAAGTGACAAATCCACAGGATGGGGAGAAAGCTAGCAGAGCGCTCAAAACAGCTTTGAGGCCAGAGGGTTCCAACCTGGGGCTGCAAGCCTGAGCAGAGGGAGGAGTGGCCAGCCTCTGAGGCAATGATCCAAACAAAGCCGGGAAGATGTTTGTGAGACACGTGAAGCCTCTCTTGTGGAGGGTGACGAGGGAGAAGCTAAGGACACTGAGTCATTTAGAAAAGAGAGGGCAGATGTCTCCCACTCAGCCCTCTGTGTCTTTGCCTGGCAAAACCCATGGCACGTGATTTTTGGCATGCTAGTAGTGCTCACCTCCGTGTCTTACACGCCGGGTCACTGGGGACATTCAAAATCAGTGGGAAATAGAGTTCTAGGGAAACTTCTGAAGTTTCCCTCGTGTGGCAGGACAGCTTAGTCCCGCACAAATAAATCATTTTAAATACAGCCATGGAAGCGTGCATTTGACCAATCCCAGCTAGAGGTGTGTGCACCAGGGGAGGTCTTAGTGATGGAGTGGCCCCTGCGATTGGAGCCAAGTGGAGTTTAATGGCAAGATTTGACAGAGGAAATGAATCTAGGCAAAGTCTGGAATCATAGTGCAAACCCTGGACGAGGTGGTTGTGGATGGGGGTGTAAGGGTAGGAGAGTCCTGTGGGAGGTGGTAAGTGGCAATTTAAAAAAATATATATATTTTTATTGATTTTTTACAGAGAGGAAGAGAGAGGGATAGAGAGTTAGAAATATCAATGAGAAACATTGATCAGCTGCCTCTTGCACACCCAAGCAACCAAGGGGATGTGCCAGCAAACAAGGTACATGCCCTTGACCGGAATCGAACCTGGGACCCTCCAGTCCGCAGGCTGACGCTCTATCCACTGAGCCAAACCAGTTTCGGCAACAAGTTTAATGCAAGGGAACCAGATGATGTGACTCAGTATGGGGAGCTCCTGTCTATTCATGGACGTGATTAGGATGGCCCATGAGGAAGTCATCATCGCTGTTCTTCTTAGATTAAACATGGCGAAGGCTAGCAGCTTCAGTTAGTTTTGATATTGGCAAAGTGGCAAGGGCATGCATATTGGGAACAGAAAGAGTGTGCAGCCAAAACCGGTTTGGCTCAGTGGATAGAGTGTCGGCCTACGGACTGAAAGGTCCCAGGTTCGATTCCGGTCAAGGGCATGTGCCTTGGTTGCGGGCACATCCCCCAGTGGGGAGTGTGCAAGAGGCAGCTAATCAATGTTTCTAACTCTCTATCTCTCTTCCTCTCTGTAAAAAATCAATAAATTTTTTTTTTTTTTTTTTTTTTTAAAGAAAGAGTGTGCAGAGTCAGGGCTGGAGATGCAGACTTAGAAATGTGTATCAGGATGGTGAGACCAGCAGTGGGGCCTGGGGAATCTCAAAGCCAGGGAAACCAGAGCGAAGAAGGGAAGTGAGGGAATGAGCTGCTGACAGAATGATCACAGCAGGCACTGGTATCCAGATAGTTTAGTGTTCTCCGGTGAAAATGTGGCCCTAGGGATGAAGGATGGTCTGTGGCTCCTGACACACTGAGCTCATTATCGGGACACCACAGGTGAAGGTAAGGTGTTTGTCTCAATGGACTGTGGTGTCAAAACTGGGCCAATAATAGATTTTGTCTATCCGTATTGTAGGTGCGGAGGGGATTCTGGGTAGTTACATTTGTACTGAGGACAATGTTTCCCAGTGAACAGGACAGGAAGTTTCTTTTTATTTCTTAATCTTGCCTAAAGTGATGTCTTTTTTCGCCTCTCCCAAGTTCAGCAACACACCAAAATCTCGAAAAACCATATGATACTCTGCAGATGTTTGCACACATGTAGAAGGTGTCATGCAGTAAGAAACTGTTCCTTTGAAAAAAATAACCAAAGTCTCCTTCCAACAGATAATGATACCACATGAAAACCGAACCAGCGAGGCCATGTACAACAAAATGAACATTTCCCAGCTGAGTGCCATGATCCCCCAGGTTGGTGAAAACAATCCAGGCAATTTTATTTTAACTGGTTAGCTTACCAGTGAGTGTATTTCATCTGTATGTACATTTTTGCCTTGTCAAGCCTACTACCAGTCGTTTTGATTATCATCATCTTTATCCATTATCACATGCACTATCTCCTGTGCATCAGGATGCTTTCTGCTCTTGGGACAGAAAACCTTTCCAAGATGGCTTAAAAACGTACAGCCCATTTTGCTACATGACAGAAGTTCAGACATAGGTGGCTACCGGTGTTGGTTTAGCTGCTTAACAATGTTGTCAAAGGCCCAAATTCTTTCCTTCCACTCTGTTCTCTTTAGTGTATTGGCTTTTGACTTCATGTGTAATGACTCAAGCATGCAAGGTGGCTACCACAGGTTCATATATCACATCTGCCATCAGGGCAGGAAGAAGAGGGAGAGACAGTGAAGGCCATATCTAATTCTTTTATCAGGAAAAACCAAAATCTTTCTAGAATATTCCCAGGTGTCTTCCTTTTGTTTCTTATTGAGTAGAATTGGGGCTTGTATGTGGCCATCCCTACCCAGAGGAATGGCTGGGCCTGTGAGTAGCCGGTTTTTCATTTCAATAGTGGAGGCAAGCAAGGGAGGGACCAATTAAAACAGCAAGATAGTGATGCTCTGAAGAGGGGATATGTTACATTTTGTTGCTGCTTTGCTTCTTCTGTGAAAGAAAGGTTGTATTAGAAGGAAGACCAGTAATGTCCTAGGGCATCTGTGTCTTTGTGGATATGACAGTGAGTATGGGAGCCAGGGAGAGTGCAGGGGGGAAAGGGAGGAGAGAAGGACGGGATAGAGGGAGCATAGAATGAGGGGGAAGTACAGGATGGGGGGAGAGGAAATGAAGGAAAGGAGAGTTGAGGAGGGAGGGGCAGAGAGTACTGGAGGGGCCAGCAGAGGGAGCGTGGGTATTACCAGGTGTGTGTATGTGTTGTCCATATGCGGATGGGACACATGCTCATTTATGATGCAAGCAGTAGGTCTGGATGGCAGTGATTGGGCATTTGTTTCCTAGATTGAGCAGTTACATCTTTAATTAATTGGTTTGAAATCACAAGCAATGGATTACGTTAAACTGATGATATTTGCCTTGCTGCCTAGCAAGAGATATTTTTCACTCTGGTTTTTTCTCTTACTCCTCAGTTTGACTGGCTGGGCTACATCAAGAAGGTCATCGATACCAGACTCTACCCTGACCTGAAGGACATTGGCCCCTCCGAGAACGTGGTGGTTCGTGTCCCGCAGTACTTTAAGGATCTGTTTAGGATACTGGGCTCTGAGAGGAAGAAGTAAGAGCTTCCTTGTGTATTTTACTGTGACTTTTGTTTTTCCTTGTACGTTTGAAGGCCTTACCTCTCACACCTTTTGAAAACTGTTTTAAATGAAAGTTGCATCCAAAGAGTCTTGGGGGAAACCACGGTACCCTTTGTGACAAATTGGCCCAAACCATCGTCTGCTGTGATTTACTTGCTCCAATGACAGCACATACACAATGTTTTTGCTTCTTATTTCCAGTATTTCTCCATCTTTTCTCTCTGAAAATAATAATAATCATCTACCTAAATTATTTGTCAGTTTTGTGCACAAGTCATATAATAATGTTTTTGAGACTTCTATGTGAACACGTTTCCCCTCTCCCCCCAGGTAATTCTTAGTCTATTGCTGCCCCCCCCACTGTTTCTTCTTAGCCAACGAGTCACTTTGTGGCAGTAAACCGAAGTACCTATATTGAAAAGACATAAGATTATACCGAGAGCTGTAGAAAAATGCACTGATGAAAGAACTTTAGGAACTGTCAGGTTTTTCTTATTAGAAAGAAGGTTTTAGGATTTGTTGCGATGCTACTTTACTAGTGGCACTACAAAACAAGGAAGCCTGAAAAATGCCCAGGAAAGAGAATTTTGCATCTTTATGAAGCCATTCAGATTTGACTACAGAAAATGAAGCACAGAAAGGTCAGCTATTGATAGTTTAAAAAGACAAAGGCAAATTGGCAGGCCAGGATTAAAAAAACAAAACAAAAAACATTTTCTTATTTGGACTTATACAAGGGGTTATTATTATTATTATTATTATTATTTTTAAAAAGGCACCTGCAGCCAAGACTGGTTTGGCTCAATGGATAGAGCATCGGCTTGGGGATTGAAGGGTCCCAGGTTCGATTCCGGTCAAGGGCATGTACCTTGGTTGCGGGCATATCCCCAGTAGGGGGTGTGCAAGAGGCAGCTAATCGATGACTCTCTCTCATCGATGTTTCTAACTCTCTATCTCTCTCCCTTCCTCTCTGTACAAAATCAATAAAATATATTAAAAAAATAAAAAAAGGCACCTGCAAAAGTTCAAGGAATAAAATTCAGCAGCCATCCCTACCTACGGAAGGACACCTTTGAAGAGCTGTATTCTTTTTAAGATGATATATTCTTATGGAAAAAGCAGTGTGTATCTATTGAGGAAAGCATGCAGGACAGTAAACATACAGAGAAGGGAGAGAAGAAACAACAAATTCACCTAAAATTCTACCAGAGATAAGCAGTGATTCTTTGAAAATTCTCTAAGCAAAAATTGAATCTAGAAGGAAATAGTATTTGTGTGGGGTAGAGCCTTGCTATTCAAACTGTGCTCCATGGGCCAGTAATGCCAGCAGTCTGTGGCAGAAATAGATTCCAAGGCCCCTCCTCCATAGAGGCTATAAAGTAGATGGAGTGAGGCCCAGGAATCTGTATTTTAAAGAGCAACCCAAGAAAGTCTTACACTTATTTTTTGGGGGGAAGGGGAGGAACTCACTACATTAGAATACTTATTCATATGTGCTTCCTAGCTCTGAAACACTATGAAATACGATCTAAATGATTTTCTGCTCCTATGCCATTGAGTTATTGGGCACATTTTAAATTTTGGTGGTAACATGCATTGAAAGGTGGAGTTTACCATGCTATATATGTATTCTTCAGATTAGTAGGTGCTTTAGGAAATTAATTTTATTTCCAAAAGAGCCTAACTTATAACAACATGATAGATTGGGCCTTGGCTTACTGTATTAGAAAAATCATCTCTATGGTGATGGTGATACTTTAGAACTGTAGGACTTGTTATAATAAAAAGGACCAAGAAAGACCATGAGTAGAGGGAGATTTTAATCTGCTTCTTATCAAAATGATAACTTGATGTAAATGTAGTGAATAGCATTGGAAGAGTACACATGAGTGGCCAGATTATTATGATTTCTGAACACATAATAATTTGGCCGCTTAATATAATTTTTTTTAGAGGCCCAGTGCATGAATTTGTGAATGGGTGAGGTCTGGCCAGCCTGGACAGGAGGAGGGGACATGGGCAGTTGGCCAGCCTGCCTGCTGGTCGAACTCCTGGTTGAGGGGATAATTTGCATATTAGTCTTTTATTATATAGGGTATACACTAAGTGGCCAGATTGTTATGTGTTCAGAGATCATAATAATCTGGCCACTCAGTATATATAGATAAAAAATTACAGATAATATATCCATGATATAAAATGACCTCTAGACATTATGAAACTTCAGTTTTAAAGACAGAAAGCATCTCTTTCACATAATTTAAGCCTCAAAAACCAATTTATCTAAAACAACTTATATTTTATATATTCTTAAGAGATTTCAAAACACTGTACATATGGAAAAGATTAGTACTTTATTTGCACATCACAGTGCATTTTTATACTGCTAAACATATTTGATCTTTACTTGTGTTGTATTCCAATCCAGGAAATAGCCCCTTGGGTCCTCACAGTTACATATTAGTCAGGACATGCCAATTGCTAGAATAGGTATCTTTAAACTCTCATTGGCTTGCACAATGAAAACTATACTCTTGGCTCATGGAACAGTCCAACATGGGTGTCCCTATAAGATGGCTTTCTTCTAAGTAGTGACTCGAGAACCCAGGCTTCTCCTCCTTGTGACTGCCCTTCTCTGGGTGTTTGGAATCTTCTCCATTCAGCTGATAGGTGGGGAAAGAGAGGGTAGAAGATTGCAAGGAAGTTTTTGTGGTAAAGCCTAAAAGTGGTGCATATCCCCTCTATCCTTATTTCATTGGTCTGAACACAGTCATATAACCCAGTTAGCTGCAGAAGAAGCTGGGAAGTATAGTTAAGGCATGTGCCCAGGAGCAAAATACCACATAAATGATCTAATTTTCTTGAAATGATATTTTCTTGTTTGCTCCACCTTGCCCCCAAATGACCCAGTGAGCACCTGATGGTGGGCACTCTTGTATAATAAGTCTTCACTTAATGTCATCAATAGGTTCTATGACTTTAAGTGAAATGATATATAATGAAACCAGTTTTACCATGGGCTAATTTAAAAAATGTGTATTTTTATTGATCTCAGAGAGGAAGGGAGAGAGAGATATAAAAACATCAATGATGAGAGACAATCATTGATTGGTTGCCTCCTGCACGTCCCCTACTGGGGATCAAGCCCACAACCTGGGAAAGTGCTCTTGACCTGAATCAAATTCGGGACCCTTCAGCCCGCAGGCTGATGGTCTATCTACTGAGCCAAACCAGGTAGGGCCACCATAGGCTAATTGATATAAGAGTTAACTTCCTATAGCATCTCATCAAGGTTGTAATAAGACAATGTTATTTGAGGATCTGCTGTAATTGCTTTTGTAACTTCAAGGCCTAGCACAATGCTTCTCATAATAGATACTTCGTAAAAACTTCTAGAAAATGACCAGGTGCCCCAATTACCAGTATCCAGGAGGTGATATATAAGCAGAACCGCAAAGGATAAGGAGGAGTTTTCCAGATAGAGGAGAGTGGAAAAAGGATGTTGCATATGTTCAGTGATGGGACTAGCATGTTGCCTTTGAAGCAGGACTCCAGAGAGCTGGGAAGGCCTTGAGGGGTTGGTTTGGGCTCAGGATGTATAAAGGAAAGGTTTTTAGCATCCTCTCCCTTCTCCCCTGGAGGTACCTTTGAAGAAACAGCCAATCCTTCTCAAGTTGGGTGTCTCCGCTGTGCCTCTGTTCTGAGAATCTGCCAGTGAAAATCACACATGGGTCATGATGATGTTAACCACCATTATGACTAACAATTACCTGAAAATAACTATATATTGTTTCTGTTGTACAGATGAGGAAGCAGAGGTTAAGTGACCTGCCTAAGGACACACCTCTTAGAGGGAGCAGAGCTGAGATTCTAACTCCGTGACCCTTACTTCTATGTCCCGTTTCTTTTGCATACATGTCTCTGTATGGAAATGAGACATCTTTCAGAAACTTCCCTGTGAGTGTGGAGACAGACAATCCCCTTTAATTTGCAGGACTACCAAACCATCTAGGGTTGGTATTAGCTGCTCATTTCTTGATGGCTTCATACCCTCTTATATCATGTCTCCTGCCAGCTTGGTGGGGTTAGGACTCTCTTTCGGACTGAATGGCTTTGGGGATGGAGGCACTGACTCTGAAAATTGGTTCATGGTACAAATCTAGAGCAGTAAGATCCCCCAGAGGTTGTTCCAGAAACTGTTGGCCCTTGAGAGACAAGGAATTAGGTGGCCAGGGCAGGGCCATTTGAGGGCTTGGCATGGAGGCTGCCTATAGGGAAATGGAGTCAGAGTTCAAGGTGGAAAGGGAGTGTGAAGATGCAGTGATGTGCTGGGTCTCTCAGGTTTTGGGCATGTCTTTCTAACTCCTTGTGGAGTGACATCACATAAATAGTTTGAAATCAACTCTAATTTCTGAGGTGGCTGAGCATTAGGTGGCAGTATAATTCAGTCATTACGGTCATCTGCTCCTGGCTTGGGAATATTGACAACCTGGAAATTGGCAAATGCTACAGATCAAGTTTTTCTTGGCAAGCCAGTTGTCTAGAACACCTCTGGGTGATGGGTGCTGTGGATTTCCATCCCTTTCTGCCTCCCTTCAGTTCTTCCACTCACTCCTGACTGGAGGCTGTCTTAGATTCCATCTAATTTGGTCTGAGGAGCTAGAAGGGGAGGGGAAGGCTGAGGAAAGGTGGGATCAGAGTAATCTGACTTGGGATTTTCTGTGTGCGCGCACACCCGTACTTCAGCAGTCCAGCCTAAAGCAGACCCTGGGAGTTTTTGCCAAGCCTCTGTGATCTTTTCTGTCCTCAATTTTATTTTCATATAAAGCATGCGCAGCATACATTAAAGTGAGATGACTCTCGTTGGACAGGAACTCCTAGAGGCTTCCCCGGGGAAATGTGCTGTTCCGTGGACCTCTTACCGGGTTCAGCAATGCTGCTGGTGATCTAGGGCCTCGCTGTTCAAAATATGGCC